CAAAAAAAAAAAAAAATTATATACTCTAATCACTAGTATACTTTGTGACTTGGAGATATTCTAATTGAATGGATTTACTAATCAAGAGCTGAATATAAATTCCAGTATCCAAAAGCTCCCATGTTTTTTACTTAAAAGAGGCTTAATTTTAGCCTATAAATTTTTTTTCTAGAATATATGAAATAACTGCTGAAACATCTTTGATGAGTCTACTGACTATAAAATAAAATCTAAACTCCTAAGCTCAACATTCAAGATCCTGTCCAGTCTGCCCTCATGTTCCTACATACACCTCCATCTCTCCTCACTTCGTTAGCCTGACTCTTCCTTAGGAATACCAATGGCCTCAACATCCTTTAAGTAGAAAAATACTGTTTTTCAGTTAATATGAAATCCCTTGGAGACTCTCAAGCAATGTTTAGAATGAATGATGACAGATATGCTTTCTCCAGTGATTAATCAGAAATATTTCATAGTATCTATATTATTCTGCCATCACCATATTTATATAATGTTATGCAATATACAGTATCTTCTTCCTTGTGAATTAATTTTCTAGGGTGCCTGTAACAGGCAAACACTTTAAGAAATACTCTGTGACCTCACTGAAGACTTAGTTTGCCCAATTAAAAAATGCTCTCATATTCATAAGTATCTACTAGTTTTGTTATACTCAAAGGTTAGACTCATCCCAATTCTAAGTTACGCTGTCTGTAACTGCCAGTAACACACCTGGCTCACCTACATAAACGTACAGCCATTATACAACTCTCACTGACCTAAAGCCCCCTTTGTACAAGGAGTTTTAAGCACAAAAAAATATTTTGGCTTGGTGCCCATAGCACAGTGGTTATGGCACCAGCTGCATGCACTGAGAGTGGTGGGTTCAAACCCAGCCCAGGCCTGCTAAACAATAATGACAACTGCAACAAAAAATATCTGGGTGTTGTGGCGGATATCTGTAGCAACTTGGGAAGTTGAGGCAAGAGAATCGATCACTTAAGCCCAAGAGGTTGAGGTTGCTGTGAGCTGTGACACCATGGCACTCTACCAAGGGCAATGTGATGAGACTCTGTCTCCAAAAAAAACAAAAGCCATTATTTTCTTACTAAAGCAATATTTTAACTAATAAATTATCATTATTGCTAGTTATTACAAATAAGACAAATACTTAACAGTCTAGACATATGAAAATATACTAAATGTCAAACTATTAACCTGACAAAAATTTAAGATTAAAAACATGCTGGGCGTCATGGGAAAACAGCCTCAAATAGTTAGAGAACAACTTCTCAGCACCTATTTAAATTATAAATGTTTATACTTCTTGAGTGAGCAATTCCACCCCTCAGTATTTAATCTAGAAAAATAATTCCTCATGAGTGCAAAGAATGATTTTATTCACAGCATGGCTGAATAGAGAAAAATCAAAACCAATTGAAAATCCTTCAGTAGAATAAACTATAGCATACTTACGTAGTAGTTAAAAGGAATATAATAGATCTTTAAGATTTATGTTCAAATTTAAAAAGTAGGCCAGCGCGGTGGCTCACACCTGTAGTTTTAGCTTTTGGGAGGCAGAGGTAGGTAGATTGCCTGAGCTCATGGGTTCAAGATCAGTTTGAGCAAAAGTGACACCTTGTCTCTAAAAATAGCCATGCATTCAGATAGGCGCCTGTAGTCCCAGCTACTCTGGAGGCTGAGGCAAGAGAATCACTTGAGCTCAAGAGTTTGAGGGTGCTATGAGCTGTGATGCCAAGGTACTCTATGGAGGGTGACAAAGTGAGACTCTGTCTCAAAAAAAAAGTTTAAAAAGTAGGTTTCAGAACAGTACATATACAGACCTCAAAATTACATGTTTATATGTACATATACATACAAACATATTTGTGCATATACAAATGCTCAGATGTTTAGGAAAAGATTTGAAGAAGACAGAATTCCAACTTCTGTGCTCTGACGTAGCCAGGACCGCACAATAACAAAGGTGGCCAGCTCCCTCTCCCAAAACCAACTCTCAAGTAAATACAGAATGAAAAAGAACCAAAAATTCTGAGAAGCAAAATAAAAATCATAAAAAAACAGTAGGAAAGACTGACAGTTAACTTGAACTGTTGTGTTTGGGAAAAAGGGACAGCGTCTTGTGGGGGAGGGTAGATGGAGGGCATTAGAGAGAGGAATGACTGGAGGAAAGTGCTTGCTTCTTTCTCCCATGAACTTACCACCGCTTGCCCCTTAACCATAAAGGTCTTCTTGGCAACAACCCAATACAAGGAAGCATGAAGGCACAGCTGTGGTGAAGTCTGGCCAGGAGCCTATTCCTGGGCGTTCGTTCCTTTACCTCTTCCCCTCCAAACCCCAGGAATTACAAAACTTCCCAAAGCAACTTCCTCCTGAGAGCTTAAAGACACAGTCACCTTCAGAAGAGATGCACAGTGGGATAGCATCTCTATCCCACTGATAGAGTGGGATAGATGCACAGTGGGATAGCAGCAGCAAACAACAGTGACCATGACCGCCAGTGGTTCTGTGCTGCCTGGGACTCTCCACCCTGCGGCTTATCTCCTGCCCCCTTCTTCAATTCTCTGAAACAGGCTACAGCCTGATTTTACTGTTAGCCATCTAAGGTCTCAGACACAGCAGCTGATCCCTGCTCCCAGTGGAACACAACCTCCTGGGTCAGAAGAACCTGATACCCAAGGAGTCAATAAGTGGAAAAAAATAAAAACAGACAACAAAAACAAATGATATTAATCATACGCACAGAGCAACAAGGGAAGATAGTAAAGTGCAAAGCAAAAAATCATTCCTTACAAGGAACCAAGTAAGCATATCAGCTATAAGAAATATAATTACAGAAGACTAAAGAACAAATTAATAGTGGCCAGATTAGACTGGGGAGCTCTCCCAGAAGGAAGTAGAAATGAATAAAGAGGAAAATTTAAGAGATAAGAAAAATAGAAGAAGTATATGGGGGGCGGCAAGGGGTGGGGAGAAGGGCGGCTAGTTGGTGGGAGGGTGACCGGAAAGATCACCTATATATCTGTCTAACAAGGGTACAAGTGAACTTTTCTAGAACTAGAATATAAATGTTTTGACACAATGACTAAGCAAATGACATGAAATTTATGTGAACCAGCTTGAGGAAAGTATTTTAAATTGTATATGAAAACACTACACTGTACCCCATATGTTTGCATTAACGTATACAGCTATCATTTAATAAAAAAAAAAGAAAAATAGAAGAAGTGTACATTAATATCTGGTAATAAAGAGTTCTATGGGGATAGGAGAAAAATGAAAGGAAGGAAAAACTGAAGAAATTTTCTAGCATTAAAGAGATGAAGATGTCTGATAGACTGGAATGTTAGTGATTTCCAAAAATGCAAAAAATTAGGAACTGAAACTTTTAAATTATGCTGACACTTCTGCTGTTTACCACCTCCTTTATGCCATTTGCTTGTCTCACTCTCATTCTCTCTCTCTCCCCCCTACTGGTTTGTATATTAAGCATATTAGTTTAATTTAGCAGCATAGACATCACCACTAATATTTTTCAACTGAAATCAATTTTGGTTAATAGCTAACTGAAGTTGCAGAAAATGTGATTAGTTTTTAATAAGAAAGAATAAGTTTTCTATCACTAAATTTTATGTCTTCCTTCCTTTCTTTTTTTGAGAGAGAGTCTTGCTCTGTCACCCCAGCTAGAGTACAGTGCATTATCATCGTAGTTCACTGCAACCTCAAACTGAAGAAATCTCAAGATTACCTTTAAAAAATTATCTTCTGGCTTGGCGCCTGTGGCTCAAGTGGCTAAGGCGCCAGCCACATACACCTA